TGGCGATTCCTCAAGGACCTAGAAATAGAAATTCCATTTGACCCAGCAATCCCATTACTGGGTATATATCCAAAAGATTATAAATCGTTCTACTATAAGGACACAAGCACACAAGTGTTCATTGCAGCATAGTTTACAATAGCAAAGACCTGGAACCAACCCAAATGCCCATCTGTGATAGACTGGACAGGGAAAATGTGGCACATATATACCATGGATTATTATGCAGCAATCAAAAACAATGAGTTTGTGTCCTTTGTAGGGACATGGATGAACCTGGAAACCATTATTCTCAGCAAGCTGACACAAGAACAGAAAATCAAACACTGCATGTTCTCACTCATCGGCGGGTGTTTAACAATGAGAACACACGGGCACAGGGAGGGGAGCATCACACTCTGGGGTCTGTCAGGGGAAATGGGGAGGGACAGCAGGGGGTGGGGAGTTGGGGAGAGATAGCATGGGGAGAAATGCCAGATATAGGTAATGGGGAGGAAGGCAGCAAATCACACTGCCATGTGTGTACCTATGTAATGATCTTGCATGTTCTTCACTTGTACCCCAAAACCTAAAATGCAATTTAAAAAAAAAAAGAAAAAAAATGTGATACATATATACAACAGAGTACTATTCAGCCATAAAAAAAAAGAATGAAACCCTGTCATTAGCAACAACATGGATGGGACTGAGGGTCATTATGTTATGTGAAGTAAGCCAGGCACAGAAAGAAAAACATAATATATTCTCACTTATTTGTGGGAGCTAAAAATTAAAACAACTCATCTGCGCATGGAGCTCATGCCTGTAACCCCAGCACTTTGGGAGGCCAAGGCGGGTGGATTACCTGTGGTTAGTTCAAGACCAGCTTGGCCAACATGGCGAAACCCTGTCTCTAATATAAGTACAAAAAAAAAAAAAATTAGCCAGGTGTGGTGGTACAAGCCTGTAATCCCAGCTACATAGGAGGCTGAGGCAGGAGAATTGCTTGAGCCTGGGAGACGGAGGTTGCAGTGAGCTGATATTGTGCCACTGTACTCCAGCCAGGCCAACAGAGTGAGACTCTGTCTCAACAACAAAAAAAAAAACAAACCAAACCAAACCAAAACAAAACAAAAAACTCATGAGACAGAGATAAAATGACGGTTACCAGAGATAGTGGGTGGGTAGGTGAGGGATGGTTACAGGTACAGAAAATAGAAAGAATAAATAAGATTAAGTATTTGATAGTGCAACAGGGTGACTATAGTTAATAATTATGAAACTGTACATTTAAAAATAACCGAAAGAGTACATTTGGATTGTAACAAAAAGGGTAAACGCTTGAGGTGATGAATATCTCATTTCCGGGATGTAATTTTTAGACACTGTATGCCTGCATCAAAATATCCCATGTACCCAATAAATATATACACCTACTACATACCCAAAAATTAAACATTTTAAAGAAGTTAAATCTAATAATGTCATTCCTTTGTTCAAAAGTCAACAAATGACTTCACATTTCAGTTTAAAAATCTAAAGTCCTTACAGTTTACCCACAAGTCCCTATATAACCTCATCCCCTATTAACCTCTCTGATCTGATCTCCTTGTCCTCTTGTTCACTATACTCTAGTCATATTGGACTACTTGCTGTTCTTCAGCCATGTTCTTACGCCAGGGCCTTTGTCTTCATTGCTCCTTCTACACATAACATTCTTCTCTTAGATCATTCCCTTACTCCTTTAGGTCTCCAAATGTTCAGAAAGCATTTCCTCATTGATATTTTTGATATCAGTATATAAAACTCCAGCCATCTCCCACCAAAGATGCTCTCTGCTCCACTGTTTTTCTTCAAAGCACCTAATCATTACCTTATACTTGCTTATTCTATTTATTTAATACCTATCTTCCTCCTACTAGAATGTAGGGCCCATGAGAATAGAGCTTTTTGTCTGATTCAGACTCTGCTCTAACTTCAGCACCTAGCACCCAGAACAATGCTTGGCATGCAACTGGTATTCACTATATATTCACCCAGAACAATGCTTGGCATGCAACTGGTATCCACTACATATTATAATAAATAAATGAGCAAATAAATGATTAAACAGTGACATAAATGTTAACACAGGGATGACAAATAGATTTTATATTAAATGCCAATTGAAATAACTGAGAATAGATGCATGCATCAATGTGTACAGGATTCTGAGACCATGTTAGCTTGGTGAAAAAATGTAACATGACCAATTATCAATGTGGCAGTCAGATAGTCAACACTTGAGCATTTATCTGAAACTATGTAAAATGACATTGGTAAAAATACAAGATAAACTAGTTCACAGTACACAAAAGCATAATTATGTCCTGCAAGGTTCTTCATACAGACTTTATTAGCAAAGACTAGTAAACAGAAAATGACAGGCTAAGCAAGACTAGTGAAAAACTATACTTAAATGTAATTAGGGAATAAAATAGACAAACAGTACTTCAGGGAATGTGAGAGGCTGTATTTCACCCTTCTTGACAGTAGGCTACTTGGCCTTTATGCTAAAAACTCTCCATAAACTAGGTATCAATGGAACATATCTCAAAATAATAAGAGCTATTTATGACAAACTGATATCATACTAAATGGGCAAAAACTGAAAGCATTGCCTTTGAAAACTGGTATAAGACAAGGATGCCCTCTCTCACTACTCCTATTCAACATAGTATTGAAAGCTCTGGCCAGGGCAATGAGCCACGGAAATGAAATAAAGTGTATTCAATTAGGTAATGAAGAAGTCGAATTGTCTCTATTTGCAGATGACATAATTGTATATTTAGAAGACCCCATCATCTCAGCCCAAAATCTCCTTAAGCTGATAAGCAACTTCAGCAAAGTCTCGGGATACAAAATCAATGTGCAGAAATCAGAAGCATTCCTATACATCAATAACAGACTTAAAGAGAGCCAAATCAAGAATGAATTGCCATTCACAATTGCTACAAAAAGAATAAAATAACTAGGAATACAACTAAAAAGGGATGTGAAGGACCTCTTCAAGGAGAACTACGAACCACTGCTCAAGGAAATAAGAGGGAACACAAACAAATGGAAAAAGCAATCCATACTCACGGTTAGGAAGAATCAATGTTGTGAAAATGGCCATACTGCCCAAAGTAATGTATAGATTCAATGCTATCCCCATCAAACTACCATTGACTTTCTTCACAGAATTGGAGAAAACCACCTTAAAATCCATATGGAACCAAAAAAGAGCTCACATAGCCAAGACAATCCTAAGATAAAAAAAGAAAAAACAAAGCTAGAGGTATCATGCTACCTGACTTTAAACTATATTATAAGGCTACTGCAATCAAAACAGCATGGTGCTGGTACCAAAACAGAGATATAGACCAATGAACAGAACAGAGGCCTCAGAAACAAAGCCATACATCTATAACCATCTGATCTTTGATAAACCTGACAAAAAACAAGCAGTGGAGAAAGGATTCCCTATTTAATAAATGGTGTTAGGAAAACTGGCTAGTCATATGCAGAAAGCTGAAACTGTACCCCTTCCTTACACCTTATACAAAAATTAACTCAAGATGGATTAAAGATTTAAACATAAGACCTAACACCATAAAAACCCTAGAATAAAACTTAGGCAATACCATTCAGGACATAGGCATGGGCAAAGATTTAATGATTAAAACACCAAAATCAATGGCAACAAAAGCCAAAATAGACAAATGGGATCTAATTGAACTCCAGAGCTTTTGCATAGCAAAAGAAACTATCATTAGCATGAACTGGCAACCAAGAGAATGGGAAAAAATTTTTGCAATCTACCCATCTGATAAAAGGCTAATATCCAGAATCTACAAAGAACTTAAACAAATTTACAAGAGAAAAACAAACAACCCCATCAAAAAGTGGGCGAAGGACATGAATAGACACTTTTCAAAAGAAGACATTTATGCAGCCAACAAACATATGAAAGAAAGTTCATCATCATTGGTCATTAGAGAAATGCAAATCAAAACCACTTTGAGATACCATCTCATACCAGCTAGAATGGTGATCATTAAAAAGTCAGGAAACAACAGATGCTGGAGAGCGTGTGGAACAGTTTTACACTGTTGGTGGAAGTGTAAGTTAGTTCAAGCATTGTGGAAGACAGTGTGGCAATTCCCCAAGGATCTAGAACCAGAAATACCATTTGACCCAGCAATCTCATTACTGGGTATATACCCAAAGGATTATAAATCATTCTATTATAAAGACACATGCATACATATATTTATTGTAGCACTGTTCATGATAGCAAAGACTTGGAACCAATCCAAATGCCCATCAAAGATAGACTGGATAAAGAAAATGTGGCACATATACACCATAAAATACTATGCAGCCATAAAAAAGGATGAGTTCATGTCCTTTGCAGGGACATGGATAAAGATGGAAACCATTATTCTTAGAAAACTAATACAAGAACAGAAAACCAAACACCACATGGTCTCACTCGTAAGTAGGAGTTGAACAATGAGAACATATGGATATGGTGGGGAGGGGGAACATCACACACCAAGGCCTGCCAGGGGGTGGGAGATAGGGGAACGAGCAGGGGGTGGGAAGACTGGGGAGGGTTAGCATTAGAAGAAATACCTAACATAGATGACAGGATGATAGACACAGCAAACCACCAGGGCATGTGTATACCTACGTAACAAAACTGCACATTCTGCACATGCACCCCAGAACTTGAAGTATAATAAATTAATTTAAAAAGAAAAAAAAAGAAAGTAGCGTACTTGGGAACAATTTAAAACATCCTTATTACATGTTCTACTGTAATACATACCTTGTTTTTAACACCTAAAAAACTTACCTGTATCATCATTTTTAAAGTTTAAAAGGTACTAATTGTATGATTATAAATCATTCTATTATAAAGACACATGCACATACAATCCTTTCACCATTATAGAATACGATATTTTTCAGAATTATGACTATATGGCACTTACATTCCGTTTCATGCTTATAGGCTCCTAATGTTAGCTGACGAGATGTTGTCAATAATTGTTGCATCATTGCTGTTGGGTCTTGGAATATCTAATGGGACAGAATGAACAAAAACCCAATAACTTCAAAGTTCTCCACTTCAAATAGTTTTAAAACTATCATTATAAAATCTTCTTACCATTTCATCATAGAACTCTGAAACCACTGTCTTTTTCCCCAGCATTGCATTGGTGTCCGATTGAAACAGCTTTAACAAATGATAAAGGGTTACCTGTGAAATAAAAAGAGATGTCACATCTATGCAATGGTTTTTATCATCACAAGACACTGTCTTTTAACTGAATTAGAGACTGGAATAAATGTATACATATCAAATTCATGATCTTGTTTCAATTGCAACTTATTACAGCAAATCACCCAAAGTTTCTGTACCTTTATTTTCCTATTAGATACATTCATATCTACTTAACATGAATATTCTGAAGAGGGTAATTAAAGATCTGTTCAAGAATCACTAGAGAAGAAACTATAAAAGTAGCACAAGATAAAACTATGGAAATTAAACTGAGAAATCACTGAAACATGAATTCTTTTACTTACATAAGTGGGTTAATTGTGACAACTGCTTTTGAAGATTAGAATTTACAAATTTACCATAAGATTTGATACTTTTAAAAGGAATGAAAAAGTTCGGTGAGGGCAAGATAATTTCTTTGGTAATCTATAAGATTATTACATAAATGACATAATAAATAAATTAAAACTTGGTCAGTGATAATTCACTTTGGGAAGAGCAACATGTCTTCAAATACTTAAAAACAGGTACAGTAAGACATCAAGGGAAAAGCTTCAAAGCACAATGTGTGATTATTTTAGCAAAATAAAATCTAGTTGGGAAAACAACAGAGTTCTTGTTGAAGTTGTGAAAACCTCAATTTTCCAAAAAGTTAGCTAAAATCATTGTAAGAGAATGCTGTTCTTCAAAAGTCACAAAACAGAGAGCAAGGAAGGGTACACTGAAAAAGTTAGAAAATATAAAATTCCTTGCAACTGAATTTAAACAAGCACCATCCATTCCCCATAAAGAAGAGGTCAAGAGATCGGGACCATCCTGGTCAACATGGTGAAACTCCGTCTCTACTAAAAATACAAAAAAAAAAATTAGCTGGGCATGGTGGCGCGTGCCTGTAATCCCAGCTACTCAGGAGGCTGATGCAGGAGAATTGCCTGAACCCAGGAGGTGGAGGTTGTGGTGAGTGGAGATCGCGCCATTGCACTCCAGCCTGAGCAACAAGGGCGAAACTCCATCTCAAAAAAAAAAAGACAATCTACCTCAATTAACAGAATGTCAGATTTCCCTGGACATGGCTCAGCCAGCAGAAGTATCCTACTTAAAGGACATCTTCCAGGCTAAGATGATGCACTAAGAATATAGAAAAACAAGGAGGGAAATACACAGAATTCTACTAAAATAACAGTAAAGACAGACTGTCTACAAAATGAGAGCATGAATTATATATCAAATTATTTAAAGCAAATAATTTGACAAATTTCTGGAACAGACAGAAAGCAGATGAGTCTACCAAACAGGATAATAAACAGTAACAGAGAAAAACCACAACCTGAAAACTTAAGAAAACTGCCTCAGAGGTGGGAGCCAGAGCTCCCAGGAGCCTACAGTGCTCCAAGCTCAGAGTTGGCAAGTATCAAAGTCAAGAATGCTATAAGGTAGCTGGGCTTTTGGACCTTCCCTTCTCTCTCCACTCCAGACAAGAAAGCCTATCTACATTTAGTGCCTAGTATTTTTCACCCCCAGTACGAAGAAAAAATAAGAACATTTCAGATGGCCAATGGCTCTGAAAGTTTATTTCTCAGGTATCCTTTCTGAAGAAATTCCTTCAGCAAAATGAAAAAAAGAAACTTGGAAAGAGGAAGAAAAAGGAAGAAAATGATCTGTAATCATTAGGCCCTGAAAGATACTATCTACAGTCGAGAAATCCAGTATTAGGGATTTAAATATATAAGATGTATGGGAGTAAGTAATTTCTAGAGGAACTCAAAACAGGTAACTGTTAAAAAGTGGTTTTCTTGGAAAAGGGGTCAAAGACGGGAGAAGGAAGATGGTATGGGCTGAATCGTGACCTCCCTGCAAAAGGTGTGTTTTGTTTTGAGATGGGAGTCTCATTATGTTGCCCAGGCTGGTCTTGAACTCCTAAGCTCAAATGATCCTCCTGCCTCAGCCTCCCAAGTAACTGGGACTACAAATGCACACAAAAGATATGAAGTCCTAATTCTCAGTTCCTGTGGATGTGACATTATTTGGAAACAGGGTCTTTGCAGGTATAATTAAGATAAAGTCATTTAGGGCGGAGTATAATCCAATATGACTGGAGGCCTTATAAAAGAAGAAGACACAGAGACCAGGGAGAAAGATAAGGCCATGTGACAATGAAGGACGATATCAGAATTATGTTTCCAACAGCCAAGGAACACCTGGGGCTGAAAGAGGCAAGGAAAGATGCTCCCCTAAAGGCCAACACCTTGATTTCAGACTTCCAGCCTCCAGATCTGTGGGAATAAATTTGTTGTTTTAATCCCCCCAGTTTGTGGTACCACAAAACTAATACAGAAGACTTGTACTTATTTCAAAAATCTTCTCTTAAAACCATGTGCACATCTGACTTTTATAATTAAAAATTCTTACATCATAAAACTATCCTTCCCTAAATTTTTTTTAATTTTTTTTTTTAATTGCACTTTAGGTTTTGGGGTACATGTGTGGAACATGCAAGACATTTGCATAGGTACACACATGGCAGTGTGTTTTGCTGCCTTCCTCCCCGTCACCCACATTTGGCATTTCTCCCCAGGCTATCCCTCCCCAGCTCCCCCCCCTAAATTTATTATTTGGACTTTCAGAGGCATTCATGCAGATATAGGCAATAAAAACATTTCAAGACAGATGACCCTGATTTTGAGTGGTATTTGAAAATTCTTAGAACAATGAAACTGCCTATACTTGCCTAGAAATCCCTATTTCTAGTAATGAAAACTCAATTTGGCATTTTGCTTTTAGAAATAACAATTCTTTTTATAGTGGCTTGATCTGTATAATATGTTACTGGGCAACAGAAGTAAATCACAAGTTACTTTCCAACCAAGTTGTCTTTCTTATATATTTTAAATAAACCTTCATTTGACATTTTCTATAAGAGCCAACTATTGAAAAAATACAATAGTCTAATTATACTAAAAAACACTATAATACTTTTTAAGAAATAAAATTCAGGCCTATATAGATCTATATGGGAACCTATTCTACAGATTAATCACTACATCAGTGCCACAGGTTATATTATTTTACCTTTCTAAGAGTGACGTTGAGAGCTGTCTCATAATGAGGTTACAGGATACAATGATTTCTTTCATAGATTTATTTTCCAACTGGGGATAGGGGTAACAGATGAGGAGACAGAGAGGTAAGGCAGCATATTCTCAAAATAAAAATGAAAACAGAGCAATCTTACAAAGTTAAAAAGAGTTTCTGCTCTAGTAACATCATGGGCTGCTTCTCTCTCCGTCAACATCTGCTAAATTCTATGCTCTCTTTTCCCTAATAAACTATTCTCATTAAGGTCAGTGTCTCATCTTAGTATCCTTCTCAATCCCTTAAACAGTATCTTGCAAATAGCAGACACTATATTTAATAATTTCTTGGCCGGTCATGGTGGCTCACACTGTAATCCTAGCATGTTTGGAGGGCAAGGTGAGAGGACTGCTTGAGCCCAGAAATTTGAGATCAGCCTGAGCAACATGGCGAGCCCCCATCTCTACAGAAAATAAAAAAAATTAGCTGAGCATGGTGGCATGCACCTGTGATCCCATCTACTAAGGAGTCTGAGGCAGGATTGTTTGAGCCCCGGAGATGGAGACTGCAGTGAGTCATGTTTATGCTACTGCACTCCAGCCTGGGCAACAGAATGTAACTCTGTCTTAAAAGAAAAAAAAATTGCCAAACAAAATATAACATTAGTGTGTTTTCCTGAAGGGCAACATGGATGGTAGGAAATCTAAAAACTTCATCACATGAAAACATGAACAACTTTTAAAGGAGATATGAATGTTTACTCATGAGAAAAGAAAACTAATGTATGAATAGTAATCAGTAAAAAGTTCAGGAAGCATAAAATAAAGTACATCTTTCTTAAAACTAAAATTACCCCAACCTTGAATAGGGTGTTTTACTTAGTGACATAAGTTAATTCTCCGTATTAGAGATATGTAAGCCCCAATGAGATTCTCATTTGAGAGACTGCCTAAATAAATTCCTACATAGGAAGGGAAGAGTAAGGCTAAGTCAATGGGTCCCAAATCTCACTGTGCATCAAAATCACCTTGGGTACTGGCCACATTCAAACCTGCTGAATCAGACTCTCCAAAAGGTGAGGCCTAGGAGTTTGAATTTTTAAAAAGCACCTCACCAAAAATAAACAAATAAATAAGCACCTCAGGTGTTTCTGATGCAGCTAGTTAGGAACTAGTTTGCTGAAATACTGGCCCAGGCATTATTTAACTCCTTTAAAAATACATACACAGTTTAAAAAACATAATCTGATAATTAAAATGTAAATGGTGATAAAAGAATGATGTGATTCTAATGAGATAAAATTAATGGTGTTGACTGTTAAAGCCTTGAAATTGGAGTTAAACCCCAGCCACATATGTGGAATGTGAGAGCCATTACTGAGTTTCGACCCCATAGTTTAAAAAAAAAAAAAAAAAGGCTTAGTGGTTTAACCCAAAAGAAAAAACACTAGAAAAAGGTATGAATGCAAATATCTGGGTTCAAAAACTAGCTCTACCAGAATTAACTGAATGTTTCTGAGCAGTGATTTGACCTGTAAGCCTTGGTATCCTGATCTCTAAAATGAGCATATTACAACCTAACAAAGTTGCTAAGGATGAAAGCAAAAGCCTGAAAAGCCTGGAGGGACTTTTTACATTATCAAGCAACAATCTGATAAGAAGAGATCAAAAGATGAAAAAGCCAGTGGTTATAAAAAATAAAGACTCATAAATAAGTTCTAAAATGAAGCACTAATACTGATAACAGCTTAAAAAAGCAAAAAACTATTTCTTGGTGTTTAGCAAAAACTATAAAAACCATTTTACATGGCATATGGGCTCAACTTGTTTATTACTAACAACCAAATGAAAATAACGGTTTTAATTTTTTTATTGCTGCAGTGATCATCTGATTTCCATGGTTTCTTTCCAATATATGTTCATATTATTTCTTCCCATACTTGAAAAAAAAAAAACGGATTTGAAAAGTACTTCACTTAAAAATGAAAAACTTAACTCATGTCAAGATACACTGTGCCGTAAGTTTACATAAAACACATGTGAATGAACACTATTCATTAAGTATTATTATATTTTCACATTTACTAAGAAATCTATTTTATATTTACAAAGATTAATGCTACTTACGGGTCTTTCATTGGGATCAATGAAAAATATTTTGATGATTATTTCGAATTCACCCCATCCTGTTTCAGTAATTTCATATGGAGGCTTAGTAACAACTAAAGAGGGAAAAAAATAGTAAATTATTGGTTTAGTTTCCTAGCTGTTTTTAACTTTGGATATTGTGTATCAAAAGACTATACTGTACCTCTTAAAGGATTGCCATAGCTTTCATGTAATTTAAACTGGATTTTTTTCACATATGCTGACATATCCTGAAATATAAGGAATTAATTAGTTTTATGATCTACGTATGAAAACTAGGAAAAGAATACACTAAACATATGTACCTAATTTTAAAAAAACATACTTCCCCTCAAATTTTATGGAACCTAATTTTCTAAAAAACATGAATTATACCTAGGAAGTTATTTTGCTTTTTTTGAAAAACAAAAACAAAGGAAGACTGTGTTGAATTCTTTTATAATTTGTAATACATAAAAATACATGTCCTTAATTCACTTTTTTTTTTTTTTTTGGCAAATCTTGGTTTCATATACCTCTATAGAGATAAAACTCTAAATCGATTTTTATTTTTTTTCCATTAAAACAACATTACATATCTGGTACTGTTACAGAAATAACCATATAAACCAAGGCAAATCTATAGTCAATTTTAAAGAACAAAATTACATTACATAGGCCAGGCATGGTGGCTCATGCTTGTAATTCTAGCAGTTTGGGAGGCCAAAGCAGATGAGGTCAGGAGTTCGAGACCAGCCTGGCCAACATGGTGAAACCCCATCTCTACTAAAAATACAAAAAATTAGCCGGGCAGGGTGGCAGGCACCTGTAATCCCAGCTACTCGGGAGGCTGAGGCAGGAGAATTGCTTGAACCTAGGAGGCAGAAGTTGCAGTGAGCCGAGATCACGCTATTGCACTCCAGCCTGGGCAACAAGAGAGAAAGTCCATCTCAAAAAAAAAAAAAAAAATATATATATATATATATATATATATATATATATATATATATATTACATAAAGCTAAGGACAACTAATTAAAAGGAATATAAGACTGTTGAATACAAAAACTCCTCTTTTTCTTGATTTTATTTTGAATTACAGAGAATATTCATTAGTTATGGCACTTAAAAGGGCTTCTGTTGGCAAAGGTGGCTTTTAAAAAATATAACTCATAGACCAATATCATCCTGATACCAAAACCTGGCAGAGACCCAACAAGAAAAGAAAACTTCCGGCCAATATCCATGATGAACATAGATGCAAAAATCTTCAATAAAATATTGGCAAGCCGATTGCAACAGCAAATCAAAAAACTTATCCATCATGATCAAGCAGGATTCATCCCAGGGATGCAAGGCTGGTTCAACATACACAAGTCTATAAACATAATTCACTGCATAAACAGAACCAAAAACAAAAACCAGATGATTATCTCAATTGACGCAGAGAAGGCATTTGACAAAATTCAACAGCCCTTTATGCTAAAAACCCTCAATAAACTCGGTATCGACGGAAAGTATCTCAAAGTAATAAAAGCTATTTACGACAAACCAACAGCCAATATCATATCGAATGGGCAAAAACTGGAAGCATTCCCTTTGAAATCCGACACTAGACAAGGATGCCCTCTTTCACCACTCCTATTCAATATAGTACTGGAAGTTCTAGCCAGAGCAATCAGGCAAGTGAAAGAAATAAAGGGTATTCAAATAGGAAAGGTGGAAGCCAAATTGTCTCTATTTGCAGACGACATGATAGTATACCTAGAAGACCCCATCGCCTCAGCCCAAAAACTACTGAAACTGATAAGCAACTTCAGCAAAGACTCAGGATGTTTATATATGCAAATATATAAATGTGCAAAAATCACAAGCATTCCTATACACCAGTAACAGACTTAAAGAAAGCCAAATCAAGAACGAACTGCCATTCACAATTGCTACAAAAAGAATACAATACCTAGGAATACAACTCACAAGGAACGTAAGGGACCTCTTCAAAGAAAACTACAAACCACTGCTCAACGAAATAAGAGAGGACACAAACAGATGGAGAAACATTCCATGTTCATGGTTAGGAAGAATTAATATCATGAAAATGGCTATACTGCCCAAAGTAATTTACAGAATCAACACTATCCCCATCAAGCTACCAATGACAGCCCGCATAGCCAAGTCAATTCTAAGCAAAAAGAACACAGCGGGGGGCATCACACTACCGGATTTCAAACTATACTACAAGGCTACAATAATCAAAACAGCATGGTACTGGTACCAAAACAGAGATATAGACCAATGGAACAAAACAGAGGCATCGGAGGCAACACAGCATATCTACAACCATACAATCTTTGATAAACCTGACAAAAACAAGCAATGGGGAAAGGATTCCCTGTTTAATAAATGGTGTTGGGAAAACTGGCTAGCCATGTGCAGAAAGCAGAAACTGGACCCCTTCCTGACACCTTACACTAAAATTAACTCCAGATGGATTAAAGACTTAAACATAAGACCTGACACCATAAAAACCCTAGAAGGAAATCTAGGCAAAACCATCCAGGACATAGGAGTAGGCAAGGACTTCATGACCAAAACACCAAAAGCATTGGCAACAAAAGCCAAAATAGACAAATGGAACCTAATGAAACTCCACAGCTTCTGCACGGCAAAAGAAACAGTCACTAGAGTGAATCGGCAACCAACAGAATGGGAAAAAATTTTTGCAGTTTACCCATCTGACAAAGGGCTGATATCCAGAATTTACAAAGAACTCAAACAGATTTACAGGAAAAAAACAAACAAGCCCATTCAAAAATGGGCAAAGGATATGAACAGACGCTTTACAAAAGAAGACATATATGAGGCCAACAATCATATGAAAAAATGCTCATCGTCACTGGTCATCAGAGAGATGCAAATCAAAACCACATTGAGATACCATCTCACACCAGTTAGAATGGTGATCATTAAAAAATCTGGAGACAACAGATGCTGGAGAGGATGTGGAGAAAAAGGAACACTTTTACACTGTTGGTGGGAGTGTAAGTTAGTTCAACCATTGTGGAAGACAGTGTGGCGATTCCTCAAGGCCTTAGAAATAGAAATTCCATTTGACCCAGCAATCCCATTACTGGGTATATATCCAAAGGATTATAAATCATTCTACTATAAGGACACATGCACACGAATGTTCATTGCAGCACTGTTTACAATAGCAAAGACCTGGAATCAACCCAAATGCCCATTGATGACAGACTGGATTGGGAAAATGTGGCACATATACACCATGGAATATTATGCAGCAATCAGAAATGATGAGTTCGTGTCGTTTGTAGGGACATGGATGAATCTGGAGAACATCATTCTCAGCAAACTGACACAAGAACAGAGAATGAAATACCACATATTCTCACTCATAGGCGGGTGATGAAAAATGAGAACACATGGACACAGGGAGGGGAATACTAAACATTGGGGTCTATTGGGGGAAAAGGGGAGGGCCAGAGGGGGAGGGGGGAAGCTGGGGAGGTATAGCCTGGGGAGAAATGCCAAATGTGGGTGAAGGGGAGAAAGGAAGCAAAATACACTGCCATGTGTGTACCTATGCAACTGTCTTGCATGTTCTGCACATGTACCCCAAAACCTAAAATGCAATAAAAAATTTAAAAAAAAATGCATTCCCAAATTAAAAAAAAAAAAAAAATATATATATATATATATATATATATATATAAATAACTCATTATAGAAGAATAAAAAATGCTAAACAGTAACTCATGTACAATAGTAATTAATGTTTATTAACTTTTTAATTTACTTTTAGGAATTTTTAAATGTCCTTATATCTACATTCATATCTAACTTTATTATTTAAAAAATAAACTGGAATCTTACTGTAATGATATCTTCTTTTATTCTTTCTTTAGCAATGGAGTCTTACTATGTTGCCTGTCTGGTCTCACTCTCCTGGGCTCAAGCAATCCTTCCACTTGGGCCTCCCAAAGTGCTGGGATCACAGGAATGAGCCACTTTGCCTAGCCAATGGTTTTTAGTTATATTTACAGAGTCTCATAACTACAATTTTAGAACATTTTAATCACATAAAAGAAAGCCGGATCCATTAGCATTTACTCCAATACCCTTCCCTGCCACCTACTGGCAACCACTTATCTATTTTCTTTGTCTACGGATTTGCCCCTTCTAGACATTTCGTATAAATAAAAGTATATAATATGTGGCTTTTTAAATATCTGGCTTCTTTTACTTAGCATAATGCTTTCAAGTTTCATCATGCAGTAGCATGTAACAGTACTTTACTTTTTATTGCCTGATTATATTCAATTGTATGGATATACCACATTTTATTAACCATTCATCAGCTGATAGACAAGTGGGTTGTTTCCTCCTTTTGGCTATTATGAATAATGCTGGTATCAATGTTCATATGCAAGTTTTTGGGTGGACTTTGAAGGGTTTTAAATAGAGGAATAATTTACTCACTCAATAAATACCTGTTAAATACCTACTATGTACTGGCTATGTTCCAGGCAGGGAAGATTCAGCAATGAAACAAAATTACCAGCAATCAGATGACACAGCAGAGCTATCTTTCACATTCTTTGATGGTCTTATTACCACATTATCACTTCAAGGATTAGCTGCTGATTCCTGAAACTCCTGATTAAATACTATATTAACTTGAGATATGATGTTAGGAAGGTGTACTTGTACTGTATTTATACCATAATAGTTCTTGTTACCTTAATTTTAATTAGAAAACATTTTTGGAAAATTGGTTTCTACTATTTTATGAAGATGACAGTTCTCTATTTTTTCAAAAACTTTTTGACAACATTCCTGCAATGGGCCAACTTTATAATCAGGAAGTGACTATAAAAAGTTACAGGTTATCTTTAAGCAAAACAAATTACAGACAACTTTAAGCAAAACAGTTACAGAAAAAAATGAGTGCCTACCTCATTTCTATATGGTTTTACATACACTGTCCACTGATGAGTGTGCCCATCTTCTTCTCTTTTCTTTCCAAAATACCGAGCAACATTACCATAAACTATTGGTTTAACAATAGTAACCCCCTAAAAGAAAAATAATTTTAAAATCAATGAATATTGTACCATTACCTAAATAAGCAGAATAAGAGCTCTGAAAACTTGTTTTAAAGAGTAACAATCTATAGTTTGCTCACAGGATTTCTCTCAAATCAGACACTTAACCCTCATTTCATATTAATACAAAAAAAAACCAACAGAATTACAATGTTCCCTCTGCGAAAATGTTTTTATTTAAATTACCACGTAAAGCACTTTGAGAGTTTTGTTTAAAGAAATGCAAAAGGCCTTTTACTTAAACACTGAAAGCTAGACATTAAAATAAAATTTGCCAATTCTGACTGGCATCACCTGTGGTAATGCCTTTATCACCCAGCCTGTGGCAGTGTTTCCCAAAGTATAGCATAAATATTAACAGCAATTTGTGAGAGGTAGAATAAAGGTCAAATATTTTCCACTTTTTTACTTATGTTTTTAATCAGAATTTAAAAAAAAGAAAACTGTAACTAGAAATTAAAACCTACAATTTCACTGAGGTGGGTGGATCACCTGAGGTCAGGTGGTTTGAGACCAGCCTGGCCAACGTGGCAAAACCCCATCTTTTCTAAAAATATAAAAATTAGCCAGGTGTGGCGGCAGGCATCTGTAATCTCAGCTCCTTGGGAGGGTGAGGCAGGAGAATTGCTTGAACCTGGGAGGTGGAGATTGCAGTGAGCCAAGATCATGCCACTGCACTCCAGCCTTGGGCAACAGAGTGAGACTGTCTCAACAATTACAACAACAACCCTATCACTTCAAAAACATTAACACTTAGAGGCTTTTAAAAATTAAATCGGTCTAAATGTAAATGTTAAAATAAATATTACAGTTGGATTTAGACATAGCAAAAATGGCCAAGTGGCACTTGGATAACTGAAGCTTGGTAAACACTGGCTGATGACATGTTTGCTACATTTGTCCTTTGTTTAACATACATATTTCTTATATCTGATAAGTGCAAAGGCAGTGAGTATTGACAGATTAAGATGGAAAAGACAAAAAGTTTCAATTGAAGTGAAAATACTGAATGTTGCACATGAATCTGAAACCAATGGCTCCATTGCAGAAATGTATCTGAAGGAAAAAGAGCAAGATTTACCACATGTGAAAAGTGCGGACCAAATGTAATTAACAAGAAGAAATGAAGAAAAGCAGCCAGGGGCAGTGGCTCACGCCTGTAATCCCAGCACTTTGGGAGGTTGAGGCGGATGGATCACCTGAGGTCAGGCATTCGAGACCCGCCTGGCCAACATGAGGAAACCCCGTCCCTACCAAAAAATACCAAGACATTAGCTAGGCATGGTGGTACACACCTGCAGTCCCACCTATTTGGGGGGCTGAGGCAGAAGAATCGCTTGAACCCGGGAAGCAGAGGCTGCAGTAGGCCAAGATCGCACCACTGCACTCCAGCTTGGGCGACAGAGTGAGACTCTGTCTCAAAAAAAAGAGAAAAAGAAAAAGAAATGAAGAAAACCAGTGAACAAAAATGGAAAAACGTTGTGGCTGAATAATTAACTACTCCAACATCCAACACCTATAAACCTAAAGTTAGTTCAGAAGAAGGCAATCAGTTTGTATGAGAACTTAAAATCACAGTGCTACTGATGACACTTTTGTGGGAACCACAGATTGGGCTTCAAGTTGAAGGCCTGATTGAATGAGTACAAGGGCGCTGACACCGGGAGGGTATAATAGATCCTATAGCTGCTAAGGTGCTGCTACGAACTTGCAGAGGTCATCAACGATGAAAGGGGAAATCACTTGTCAAGATTTCTACCTAGATGAAATTTAGCTAAATTGGAAAAAGATGGCTGAAAGAACGAATTAACAATCAGCAAAGAGAAATAAATCCCCAATTTCTCGCTGGCAGTGTGCCTCCCATCTGAAGCCCTAGCTACTCGGGAGGCCGAGGCGAGAGGATCGCTTGAGCCCAGGAGTTTGTGGCTGCAGTGAAGTATGAAGAGGCCAAGGACTCCAGCCTGGGTAACAGAGACCCTGTCTGTAGTCAAATATAATAATACTTATGTAAAAATATAACACAGATAAGGATTTTAAAAACCTACAGGTTAACTATTTTGGTACAAAAGTAGGTGATTCTTCCAGCAGCATGTTAGAAGGGAATTAAAAAAATAAAAAAACAAAACAAAAGTGGGTGATTCTTTTTAAAGAAAATATCCTTTCCTCTATAAATAAAAATGGGGGTACAATAGTTGTTTTATCAGGAGCCAGTGGGTCCTGCCTTAAAAATTAACATGCCAGAGGATGTGGGAAATGTGAGAAAAATAAATGTCACAATGTCAAAACATTACGAAAAGCTCTATGAAAATTTCATCAAAAACAGAAGTTGACATTTACTGAATGTTCCCCATGTGCCAGGCACACTGTTAGGCCCTTGCTTTGGGGCTTTGTGAACACTGTGAATTCCGGCAAATTTTCTTAGCTTTCCTCCGCCTCGGTGCCTCCGTTACCGCTTGGAAATACTGCGGGTAGGCGCTCAGCGACTATTTGCTACAGTTAGTTGAGACAGAGCCTACTGATTGATTGATTGATTGGAGACAGAGTCTCGCTCTGTCGCCCAGGACGGAGTGCAGTGGCGCTATATCAGCTCACTGCAACCTCTGCCTCCCAGGTTCAAGCGATTCTTCTGCTTCAGTCTCCTGAGTAGCTGGGAATACACACGCGCGCCACCAAGCCTGGCTAATTTTTGTATTTTTAGGAGAGATAGGGGTGTCACCATATTGGCCAGGCTGGTCTTGAACTCCTGACCTCGTGATCAGCCCGCCTCGGCCTCCCAAGATGTTAGGATTACAGGCGTGAGCCACCGCGCCCGGCCTGCTACAGATACTGTTATCTTCACACCAAGTGGGTGGCGTCACCGCTTTACCAATAACCTAGGTTGGCAGCGAATGTGCACCAAGCCGAGCTTTCCCAGCCCTCGGAGTGGCCCGTTTCCTCAGCAGCCAGGTCTAGGTTTCCCCAAGCCACCACGGATCTGTTCGTGTTTTGGCGGGGATGGGAGTTGGCAGTGACGCCAGGAAGTTGGGGCCCAATGAACGCCGGCTTTGACTCGTTCTCCGCCTTGAAACCACGGTTCAAATCGGAGGAGAGAAGGCGCGAAAAGAAACCCAGAGGCCCCTCCCGCGCCGCGCAGGGAGGAGCCGGGGCGGAAGAACCACCCCGGAAGAGGCGCGGGTCGGACACTGACCTTTACTCTCCCGCCGGAGTCAGGCCCAAATTCGGCCATTCTCTTGAACATATTGTCCCACGGAAGAAGCCGCCGCCGCCGCCGCCGCCGCCGCCGCCGCCGCCAGGGAAAGAGACCGGGGCTGGCGGAGTCGCCGCTCCCCTAAGAGGCTGCGCTCCTCTCACACGGGCCCAGGCGGAGAGCTTCTCGCCGAGGGAGGGCGAGTTACTAGGGCTAGTGGCGCTAAGTAACCGTTAACTTATCTGGCTGACAGCTTTCCTGAAGGCCATTCAACCCCGCGCAGGTGGAGAGCGCAACGGAAGGAGGGGCGACGGCGGTGCCGTGCGCAGGCGCAACGGGCTCGCGTGTGTGCACGCAGTACACACTGCGCACGCGCTTGGCCGCTGCAGTCACATTACAAAACCAGTCCACAAGTTTCAAATCAGAAAAATTGGAAGGAAGGAAATAATAAATGATTTGAGAAAGTTGTCCAGATGTTAAGGATATGAATTCGCCCTGGAAGATCCTACCAAGCACCCAGCACAAATGTTAAATCATTCACCTCAAGACATATCTGAATTTTCCGCCGGTCGAGGATAAAGAGATCCCACACCCTTCCATGTTATAGAGACTGTGGAATCAGAGTGGCTGCAGATTGCTCGATAGAATCATTAGAATCTAGGAAGCCAAACGGTACTGTCTTCAAAACTCTGAGGGAAAATTACTTCCAGTTTAGTCTTCAGTATTCATACAGCTACCAATCGAGTGTGTGACTAGAATAGTTTCAGACTTGTTAAATCACTACACACACAAAATAGTACCTATCTTACTTTTCTCAGTATCTCCAGGAAGATCCTGTAGACCTGATCCACCAAAATGAGAGAATAAGCAAAGAAGGAGGAAATTATGAAATACAGGAAATATAATAATTATCAAACAAAATAATAAAATCCCAGGATGATACTCAAAGAGCCCCAGGACAAAAGCTGTGTACAGGCACAGACAGCAACGCAACCAGATTAGAGTCGGTCAGAAATCTTTGGGAGACACTGCTTGAGAAGGATGGAATTGATAAAATTCCAGCTGGCATTGAAGCCTCGAGAAGAGATTTGACCTAGAGTTTGGGAGTGTAACTCATGACAGGCACACAGAAAACTAAGCAGCTGTAAGAATTATGCAGCTATTAATTCTAGGGAAAACAAAATCTTATGCAAGAAAAGAAAGTACTTGTATTTATGGTTACATAAATACTGAGTATTGATCAACACCCCCCCGCCGGCCCCCAAAAATAGAATTTACATTTGGAATTCCAAGGATGGGCTTTGGAGAAGGGTACTGTGATGGGGATGGAGGAGGAGGAAATAGAGTTTAATCTTCCATAGTGGAAAGTCAGTATTTTAAAATGGAAAAATCAAGAAGAAGCAATATAAGTCTAATATTTTTAAGCATGGAGGTAAATATAAAAAATAATATTAAGCTAGAAGAGTAGAAAATACTGCTGATTGTAATTTTTAGTAATTCCATTTAGCAACTTGAAGAAAATATTTTTTAAATGACTTCACTAAATAGAAGTGCAAGGAATGTGCTCAGGGCTTAGTTATAATTAGTGCCACATGAAGAGCTCGGTTGTCATATAGATGTCACTCTGCATTTCAACCAACATAGGAACTGAGTTTCTTTGGAAAATGACCATATATTGATACTGATTTTTATTCTGTTCCCAGAATAAGAGTAGAAATTTGGTTTGGGGGCATAATTATATTAAAAACAGTTGTTATGATTAAGAAATATTTATCAAAAACTAAAACAAAATCTCCAACAAACATTGCTTTCCCTCTTCAGTCTACTTTGTCTAATCTGGCAGTTTCCTCAATCAGCCTGTGTTGTTGGGTTATCCTGGCACTTCTTGGACATCTCTGCTTCTCAGCTGTCACTCTTCAAGTCTCTCTCTCTTACTTTGACTCATCCTTTGTACAACTCAGGGTATCCCGATATGCATAAACTAAGATTCTTGCTGAGTTTATTCATATCAGAGTGGTCCAAAGAATTTTGAAGCCTAAGGTTGCACCCATGTAATGGCCCTCTGCTGCCCTCCCATGGCTGGTCTACGTGCTGCATTTACATAGCCAAGAAGTGGCTTGGAATCCCGCAAGCTGTGGTACGGGAATCGTGTGGCCTTGAAGAGGGAGGGAAAGAAAACAATCTTAGAATGTTCAGCTTGGAAGGAACATACTAAATAATCAGCAAGAGATTAATTTGATCAACTGATATTTATTGAGCATGTACCATATTCCAGTCACTCTTCTAGGTGTTTAGAGTACAGAAGTGGAATGAGTGAAAAATTTCTGTTCTTCCTATGAGGACAGTGGTTCAGCATATTATGCCAGCGATGTAACATGGTAAAGAGGATGTCCAGGTGTGGGGGACAACACACTGAGGGATGTCAGAGCCTGAGTGGAGGGCACTCAATGTTGGGCAGAGTTGGGAAATTGGTTACATACAGGCAAACCCATCAAATTCATAAATGCACTAAGGATACATTTTAAGGATATTGAATATAATGAATGCTAAGTTTCTTACTGTCAGAGAAGAGAGTTAAAACAAGGAAAAGAAGAAAACCAGAGTGAATCCTGTGGTGTGAGGTTAGAGTTGGAGGTATTGGTGTGAATTCATGATTTTCAATATAAACAGATAGATATAGAGATAAATATAGTGTAAATATATATATCTTCCAGTTCTATTCAGTGATAGGGCCTGGGAACAGTGATACCCTAGTGCCCAGGTCTTGTTTTTTAATACTGTTATGCACTTTGAAGAATCAGGGCTCCTTAGAGAAATGCCTATTCCATTTCTGGAAGCAAGGAAGGAACAAGGTGAGCCTTAGAATATCTCACGCCAGAAAACAAGAAAGTGCTTGAAGAATGATGGAAATATGTGGAAATGACACAGAAACCAACTTGTAGGGACTCGCTGGCCAAATTGAGGACAGCTGTGAACATCAAAATAAATAATAGTAATGGATTATAACTCATTATGATCTGAATAAAATAGAAGCCATGGATCCATACTGATATAATAAAAAAATGCATGACCAGGCACGGTGGTTCATGCCTGTAATCCCAGCACTTGGGAGACCAAGGTGGGCAGATTGCTTCAGGTCAGGAGTTCAAGACCAGCCTGGGCAACATGGCAAAACCCCATCTCTACTAAAAATACAAAAATTAGCCAGTCTGTAGTCCCAAATACTCAGGAGGCTGAGGTGGGAGGACTGCTCGAGCCCGGGAAGCAGAGGTTGCAGTGAGCTGAGATCGCACCACTGCACTCTAGCCTGGGTGACAGAGTGAGATCCTGTTTCTAAATAAATAAACAAACTGAAAATTTGATGAGCAGTAGTCTCAAAGCACCTCCTCCTCGAATACTTTACAGTGAAGATGGCTTGCAGACATCCCCTTAATCAAGTGATCCAAGTGAATATCACCAACAATGGGGCAAATCAAAACTGCATGTCACCTGAAAGGATGCAGTGAGAAGAACATCACTTCCGTGGTATTCCCAACAAAGTTGCATAACCTAATGGAATTGAGAGAACGCCAGAGAAACCTGAGGAACATTCTATAACATAACTGGTCTGTGGTCTTCAAAAGTGTCAATGTCATAAAAATCCAGAAAAAACAACTGAGGAAACAATTCAGATTGAAAGAGACTGAAGAAACATGACAACCGGCCGGGCGCAGTGGCTCACTCCTGTAATCCCAGCACTTTGGGAGGCCGAGGCGGGTGGATCACGAGGTCAAGAGATCGAGACCATACTGGTCAACATGGTGAAACTCCGTCTCTACTAAAAATACAAAAAATTAGCTGGGCATGGTGGCGCGTGCCTGTAATCCCAGCTACTCTGGAGGCTGAGGCAGGAGAATTGCCTGAACCCAGGAGGTGGAGGTTGCGGCATTACACTCCAGCCTGGGTAACAAGAGCGAAACTCCATCTCAAAACAACAACAACAAACCATGACAACCAAATACAACATGATTCTGAATTAGATGCTTTTGTTACAAAAGACTTATTGGGACAATTGATGAAATTGAGTAGAATCTGATGATTAGGTGACAGTAATGTATCAGCATTAATTTACTAATTTGGATAATTGTTTTGAGGTTATGTAGAAGAATGTCTTTGTAGCAATTACACACTGATATAGTCAGGGCCATTAGGTATCATGTTGGCAATTTACTCTCAAACAGTTCAGAAAAATAAAAGACCTTCGTGTGGTACTTTTAAATTTTTAGAAAGGTTGAGATTATTTCGATTTTTTTAAAAAAGTGGAAAAACCTCTGTCATTTTGGAAGTTATGTTTTGATGAGAAGAGACAAACAAGTAAAATATGTAGTATATAAAATCATTATAGGCTTGAGCCCTGAGGCACTCCCACATTTAAAAATTAAATAGCAGAGAAAGAGCGAGCAGAAAGGATGGAGAAAGAAGAGTCAGTGAGGCAGGACATAAATGAGGAAAAGCCAAGGGAGAAAAAATTGCTGAAAGTATGAAGTGGCTCACTTTGTCAAATGTTGCTGAGATGAACAAGATGATCACTGGAATTAGCACTGAGGAGTCATGGGAGAAATCCTGGAGGAGCAGTTTCAGCTGGGTGAGGATGGAAGCCAGATTAGAGAGAAAAGACAATGGGAGGTCAGATCATGGAGGTGGTGAGTACAGACATCCTTCCCCAGAAGTCTTGCTGTAAAGGGAACAGAGAATGGGGTTGCAGTTGGAGGATTATGTAGGGTCAGTGGAATATTGGTTGTAAGATGGGTTACTAGGACAGACTGTAGAATGCTGGAGGTGATCCAGCAAAGAGGAACAAATGAGGCATCCAGAAAACAGCCTAACTCGGAGTAGTGACAGGGATGGGAGGGAAACTGCATGTGGAGGCAGGAAGAGAGGCTCTTCATCCTGGTAATAGGAGCGAAGGAAGGAAAGATGGGCTATGGGAAGGTATGACTGCTGTTTTAGTGATGTGGAGGGGAAAAATTTGTATGAAGTTGCTTTTGTTTTATAAGTGTAATATGACGCCAGGTTATCTGCTGAGAGCAGAGAGGTGTGGAGGAGAAGAGGGCAGAGGAGGAGGCTGAATGTGTATGTTTGGGCTTTGAAGAGAGAAGAGAAAAAGTAAAATAGTAACAGTCATTTTGGAGACTGGGGACACAAAAATGGAAGGATTGCAGAGAAATAACTAAAATGGCCAGGCAGACTTGAGGGCTCATTTGAGATTTATGGTTATGAATTTAAAGTGACACCTGTCAGCATGCTTGTGGATTTTTCTCCAGCAATATCCAATTATTTAAGTGAGGATATAAGAGAGATATTAAGCGCACCAAATCATATTTTTTCAAATATATGTCTTTTTGTCTTTAGAGACACTATAGGAATCTAAATAAAAACAGACATGGTATGTGTTGCAAAGCCTTTAATGAGAATGTTTGTATTTTTTACATCATGCATAATTTCACATTTGTGATTAATTAGTAATTATTTCAATGCTCGTAAGCTCATCTGCCTCAGATTTAATCATAATACATGAATGAAATTAATCAAATTAAGGGACAGAAATTTAGAAAGGAACACACTTTATAAAAACAAAATTCTCAATTCAGGCAGTCTGTTTCTAGCATTTGCTATTCCACCTACCCCATTAAAAATTTCATATTGCCCAACAAAACAGTTATTTTTACTATTTTTGGAGATGACTGAACAGATGACTATACAGCTGGTATTTTGCCTAAGATTAGTTTAAGATAACCTTTTGTTATATTTTACTTAACACTGAGTATACTTGTGTCACTTGAGATTAAGTCTGGGTTATTTCTTTGATAAAAACTGAATATACTGGAGATGTATTTGACAACCAAGGTTTTAGATGCATTTTCACCAGTATTAGCTCTGTTTGCAAACTGAAAAATTCTGTAGGCTTAATATAAAATAATAACCACATTAGTGAACACTACATCTCTTAGAAGAAAGGTCATATTTTGCTCCTGCTTCTGTAAAAATATTATTTGTTTGAAGTGAAATAATGGTAGTGTGACCTTTCACTTAATAACTACTCCCTTAATGTGAGAAAGAGACAAAAATGAGCTGAAGAAGGAAAATTCTGCAGTTATACTCCACAACCTTGAACATACTGACTGACATCTCTGTTTTGACAATGAGCTTTCCATGCCACCCTGTAGAAAAAGATGAAGCAAATGGTGAAAGGTTAACACACATCTTCACTGTAATATATATACTTCATACACCTTGGGGAAACAAAATATTTTGCCAATAGATAAAATGCTAAGATAGACCCAGCTATTGCTATTTATTAAATGAAGCTATGTGCACAAAGTATTTCACTCCTCCCTAAATCTCCCAGTAGAGTATAGAATGCTGAACATAAAGAGTGAGTAATGTGCATTGTACAGCAGCAACTGCAAAGTAAATTCCACATTTACTTATTCTCTTTTTTTTTTTTTTTTTGGAGGCAGAGTCTCACTCTGTTGCCCAGGCTGGAGTGCAATGGCACAATCTCTGCAACCTTCCCCTCTCAGGTTCAAGCAATTCTCCCTCTCAGCCTCCCGAGTAGCTGGAATTACAGACACCTACCACCATACCCAGCTAATTTTTTTTTTTTTTTTTTTTGAGACAGAGTTTTGCTCTTGTTACCCAGGCTGGAGTGCAATGGTGCGATCGTGGCTCACCGCAACCTCCGCCTCCTGGGTTCAGGCAATTCTCCTGCCTCAGCCTCCTGAGTGGCTGGGATTACAGGCACGCGCCACCGTGCCCAGCTAATTTTTTGTACTTTTAGTAGAGACAGGGTTTCAACATGTTGACCAAGATAGTCTCGATCTCGTGACCTCGTGATCCACCCGCCTCGGCCTCTCAAAGTGCTGGGATTACAGGCGTGAGCCACCGCGCCCGGCCACTAATTTTTTGTATTTTTAGTAGAGATGGGGTTTTGCCATATTTGCCAGGTTGGTCTCAAACTCAGGTGATTCACTTGCCTTGGCCTCCCAAAGTACTGTGATTACAGGTGTGAACTATGCTCTGCCCACATTTACTTATTCTAAAAAGAATTTCAAGATAATGACAAGGAACTGGTAGAGTGAGAAGAAACTTAAAACTCTAGAAATCTCCTAAAATAAATTGAAGAGTAAAAAAAGTAAAATTCTGGATCAGTTAAAGTAGATTGTTTCTTCAAGGATGTAAGTAATATGTTATTTAGCATAAGCCAAAAGCTGCAATTTTCAGGTGTCATTAGCATACTTCGGTCTTTGAAAATCTGCTCCCATTGTATATATCAACAGTAGAGTAAAATAGTTTTCCCTTTTAACACTTGAAACATACCATGCCCTAATGCCTTGTGGATCGCGGACAACCCTCTTTGCACAGGCCACAGCTTCAGTGATGTCATCTTGCAGCAAAGCTGAAAGACAGGTGGTAAGGAATGAAAACAACTCCAATAGGGATATTTCATTTTAATTTTATGTTTAGCCAGCTTTATTCTGTTAGGCTGTGGAAAGAATGCTAAGATATTATTTTCTGTTAGTCCATGTATGTGTGATTGTTGGGGAAAACTTTCCCTTCATTCTCTCTCATTTAGCATGAAATGAAGCATTGTTTTCCTCATTTACCCAAGTCATTGGAAGCTCTGGAAGTATTAACAAAATGATTAAAGGTCCTCTTTGTACTAGACACTGTAAAAAAAAAAAACTAGTGATATTTTACTCGGCAGTTCTATTATTGAAAATTTATCCAAAATAAATAAAAAATGCACCCAAAGATGTATGCACAAAGCTCTTCATAGCAATTTATAAGAGGGAAAAATAGAAACAAAGTACTCAATAGAAAGAGTTGGATCAATAAATTATAAATATTCATATATTAGAATTCTAGTCATTCTTTTAAAATAATAATACAGATTTGTATTTTTTTCTCATCTGGAAAATGGAGCAAAAGATAGTTAAAAATTGATTCATATTTGCTGACATGCAAATAATTTTGTGTGATAAGCAAATTGTAAACCAGTATGTGTAATACAATTTAATTTTTGCAAAAGCACACATTACTTGCATGTTTATATGTGGGTAAATATGTGTATGATATAACGTAACATTCATATACATGATTGATATACATTCTGGAAGAATATATACCAGAATTTACACATGGTTATAAACCTCTTGGTAGTAAGATATGGGTTTTATTTTTCTTCTTTGTATTTTCTAATTTTTATTTAATGACCAAAGATTATTATATAATACAAAATGTTTTTTAAATTAACTGGATTTTTAAAATAACATAAGATTAATGTTCTCTATTGGGAATTTTAATGTTTAAAAATTTAATAATATCAACTTTGCAAGATTTCTGCAATATTTTTTGCATGAAGATTCCACATATTATTTCTATTTTTATTAGTTTAATAAAATATTTGTTTCACCCCAAATAAATAACTCCTTAAGTTAATTTGTCATCTACAAAAATGATTCTACAGGAACTGTATTTTTTGAAGATGCAAACTAAAGAATTTAGAAATGGAATATCATAATGTTCCTAATTCACTTAAAAGTCTCTCAGCAGTAGCCAGATACAATGGCTCATGCCTGTAATCCCAGCACTTAAGGAGGCTGAGATGGGAAGATGGCTTGAGCTCAGGAGTTTAAGACCAGCCTGGGCCACACAGAATTTGCCTCTACAAAATATTTTAAGAATTAGCCAGGCATCGTGGTGTGTGCCTGTAGTCCCAGCTACTTGGGAGGCTGAGATGGGAGGATCACTTGAGGCTGCACTGAGCTGTGATGGTGCCACTGCACTGCAGCCTGGGGGACAGTGAGACCCTGTCTCAAAATAAAACAAAACACTCTCAGCAAAAAAAAAAAAAAAAAAAGAAAGAAAAGACAGAAGACAGAAGAAACAACTATGGGAAAATGTCAACAACTGTTAAAGTGCATAATGGGCATATGGCTGTTTATTATACTAATGTCCCTAATTTTCTGTATATTTAGAACATTTCAAAATAAAAAAGCAAAACAATTAAAAAAGGACCACACAACTAAATTATCCCTAAACCTCCCCAAAGAAAGCAGGAGGAATGGCATCATTCTGGACAAAGCATGAGTAAGGCCATTGACAGTAAATTAATAGGTCATTCCAGAAACTTCTGTATATTAAAAAACTCCAACCTTTTATAATACTAGTTCTTTAATTTCTTAGGGAATTATGAGGAAAATCATAATGACTTTCTGGAAGTTAGGTGTAGTTTTTCTATATCCCTCATGAACCCTTCAAGGCTTTTTCATTTGCATTGAATCTCAATTCTCGTAAGTATAATCAGATTGGTCAAATATTAGCTTGTCTTACCATTGCAGGATATATGACAGGCATTAACTGCTCCTGGGGTTCTGCCATTGTTACACCAATAGTGGCTATTGATCTGAAATATCCCATAATCAGTGCTTTGGTCTCCAGGATTGTAGTTTGTAGCACGTGTGTTATAATCACTCTCCCATTTGGCCAAACACATCCCTGAAAAGAACTTGTTTTTAGTAATACACAGCAACACTAAGTGACTTATACTCTATAACGAAATCAGTTCTATCTAGCTACTTCTATTTTACTGACTTGCTTTATAAGTATAAAGATTTACTTAACTTATAAAATATCTCAACACGTTAGTGTTAAGGGACTTGTAAGAGAATCCTTTTGTAATGCAAATCATCTTGTAACACTAATGAACAATATGACATACTTTCAAAAATATTAAAATACATGTTCCTTCCATTGCTTTTACCCTTCCCCTGCTTCCATCCCTCAGGCAACATTCAGCCAAGAACAGAAAAATTAACAGAGCTGTTGAGTGGTTTTGTAAATTCATAACAGATAGGTAGGCGGATGGAAACATGCTTTTTTAAAATCAGAAAAACATAAGGATTTTCTGACAGAGAGAAATTTCCTTATAATATCTAAAGGTGAATTTGGATATCAAGTTAGAATCTTGAAAACAAGACTATTCTGTGATTTCATCCCTTTACTCACTCATTCAGAAATAGCTATTGAGGGGAAATGTCTGAATTAAATCTGAAAAGTACAGAGATCACATTGACAACTATGGACTAAATTGTAAAATAACTTTGCCTCGTGGCACATCTTGAATTGTGTTGAAGAAAATAAAAGATAGGTAATCAAGTAGAATAGATAAAAATAATAAAATATTTCCTGCTGAGTTTCAGGGATCCTATATAAAAAGTGACTGAAGGGAAATAGGTTCCTACTGCCCTTGTGAGGAATTCAATATATTCTTTAAAAACTTCACTGTTAAAAATCCTGTGTCGGCCAGGCACAGTGGTTCATACCTGTAATCCCAGCACTTGGGGAGGCTGAGGTGGGCTGATCATTTAAAGCCAGGATTCAAGACCATCCTGGCCAACATGGTGAAACCCCATCTCTACCGAAAATACAAAAGAATTAGTTGGGTGTGGTGGTGCATGTCTTAGCCTCAGCTATTCGAGAGGCTGAAGCACCAGAATCACTTGAACCCAGAAGGCAGAGGTTGCAGTGAGCTGAGATTGTGCCACTGCACTCCAGCCTGGACCACAGGAGACTGTCTTTAAAAAAAAAAAAAAAAAAAAAAATCCCACGTCATGGCAAGGGAATTGAAGAAAAGAAAAATACTGCTTCAATCTAGGCTCTCAGAGCCCAAGTTCGAAATGGGAAATAACTGCGGTCACGTACCAAGGACTTGAGAGAGTTTGGCCAGGTCCTCAAATGTATCTTTCAATCAGCTTACATGTGCCATTAAATCTCAGGCACCCAGCAAACTTCCCAGCACTTGTACAGTACAACAGGTCCTGTTTTGCTTAGAAAGGAGTGTTCCCCTGCCATGCCCTCATTCCTTTATCTGGTATCTCTGATTATAAAGAAACAAACTGATGTTTTTAGCCATTATAAGTATACAAACCCATGAAGAAATAAAAATGTCTATTCACTCAAAGCCCCTTCTTCTTATTCCTTCTCTCCTAGTGTCTGTTCCATACATGGCTAATGCACTGGAAGTATGGAGAATAGACTTACAGTTTGCTAGGCTGATTCCCCTGTAGCCATCCAGTCCAAACCTTTTCAGAGTTCTGGCCAACTCACACCTTTCAAAGACCTTGCCCTGGACCATGACAGAAAGGAGGACCAGCCCCAGAATAATGAGAACCTTCATGTTGACTGGTAAGTCAGACAGCTAGGCTGACCAGGGTGAGCAGGCTCCAGTATTTAACGTCTTTTAATTTCCTTCTTCCCCTCGTGGTTTGAGGGCTCCACCCTTTCAGCTATGGGAAAAACAGGAACTGTGTATTGATTCACTAATTCTAATGAGATTTTTTTAATGCTTGAAGAGAGATAAGCTGATTTCCTAAGAATTAATCTACAGGAAAATAATGAAATGACATTGTTTAAAGTACTGGCTCTGGAAGAATTGGGTATAGCACTGTTTCCAAGACAGGAACTTCCTTCTGTTTTATTATGAATTTGAGCAACTGTAAAGAAAAAAAACAATGACTCTTTTGTACAGCTTAAAACGAGCTGTGATTTCTGACTAACACTCAGTTTCGTGAAATCGTTTTGTATGCATTCACTATTTTATATTTATCATTTTTACCTAAATTATTTTATATATAATTTTCCTCAAAGCAAACATGACACATGTGCCTGTTGTCTTAATGGGTGTATAGCGTGACACCATGTTGCTCAGCTAGATTCTTACTTCAGACTCCTTTTGTTACTATAGTACATTTTTTATTATTATAAATCGGTGTTTTACTATTATAAATAAGGCTCATGTGAATAACTTTACCAACTTCACAATACTTTGCCTCCCATTTCGTATTAGAACATAAGGGGTCATTAGAAAGCAACAGCATTTTAAAAATCAAACCTACCCAAACACATATATCCAACTAAATGCCACCTTTAAAAATAGCAATCTCAGGAGGCTGTGCACAGTTTTTTCTTATTTATAGTAGAAACACAGTCCTGCTATGTTGTCCAGGCTGGTCTTAAACTGGATTCAAGCAATCCTCCTACCTCAGCCTCCCAAAGTGCTTGGATTACAGGCATGAGCCACTGTACCTGGCTCTGTTAGGCCATTCTTGTATTGCTATAAAGAAATACCTGAGACTGCGTAATTTATTAAAAAAAGAGTTTTAATTGGCTCATTGTTCTGCAGGCTGTTCGGGAAGCATGGCATTGGCATCTGCTTCTGGAGAGGCCTCAGGAAGCTCAAAATTATGGAGGAATGTGAAGGAGGAACAGGTATTTCAGGGGATGGGGTTACCATACTTTACAACAATCAGACCTTGTGAGAACTCACTAAAACTAGGACAGCACCAAGCCATGAAGGATCTGCCCCCATGACCCAAACACTTCCCACCAGGCCCCACCTCTGACAATGGGGATTACAATTCAACATGCAATATGGGGTCAGATGATCCAAGATGGCCAAATAGGAACAGCTTTGGAATGCAGTTCCCAGTGAGAACGCAGAGGGTGAGTAATCACCACATTTCCAAAAGAGTTTTTACTGCCCACAGACCTGGAGATTCCTGGGTGGAGAAGCACCACGAGTCTCCAGCATGGCTGTTTCAGCTGGCATAGCAGGGCTCTGCACAAAAGCTCACACAAATCTGGGCAGCCATTTCAACTGGCACCTGGAACACCTGGGAGACAGAGTTGCCCATTCAACTGAAAAAAAGGGGGCTGAAACAGGGAGCCAGGTGATCTGGTTTGGTGGGTCCCACCCCCACAAAGACCAGCAATCTGAAATGCTCTGGATTGAGAGTTTCACAGCAAGCACAGCTGGACCTGGGATGGTCCAGCTCTGTGGGCAGAAGGGCGTCCAACATTATCAAGGCAATACACCACTACTGAGGCAGTCCACCATTACTGAGGCAGTCCCCCATTATTGAGGCAATCTGCCATTACCAAGACAGTTGACCATTACAGAGACAGTCCACCATTATTGAGATAGACTGCCATTACCGAGGCAGTTATAACTATACCTCTATAAACAAAACCGCAAGGAAGTTCACACAGCATCTGGGCAGAGCCCATGGCAGCTCAGCAACACCTCTGCTGGCAGATTGTGACTAGACAACCTTATTGCTGAGCAGGGCATCTCTGAAAAAAGGCAGCAGCATGTCAGGAGCTTATAAATAAAGCCCTACCTTCCCAGGACAGAGCACCTGGGGGAAAAAAAGGCAGTTATGAGTTCCACTGCAGCAGACTTAAATGTACCTGCTCAGCAGCTCTGAATGGAACAACGGAGCTCACAGCTCAGCACTTGAGCTCCTATAAGGGATAGACTGTCTCCTCAAGCAGCTCCCTGACTCCATATATCCAAAGAGACACCTCATAAAGGAGAGCTCAGGCTGACATCTGGTGGGTATCCTTCTGGGACAAAGATAACAGAAGAAGAATCTGGCAGCAACCCTTAGTGTTCTGCAGCCACCGCAGGTGATCCCCAGGCAAGCAGCATCTGGAGTGGACCTCCAGGAGTCCTACAGCAGAGGGTCCTGAATTCTAGAAGGAAAACTAAAAAACAGAAAGAAATAAATTCATCATTAACAAAAAGGACATCCACTCAGAGACCCCATCTGAAAGTCACCAACTACAAAGACCACAGGTAGCTAAATCCACACAGATGGGAAGAAATCAGTGCAAAAAGGATGAAAACACCCAAAACCAGAATGCCTGTCCTCCTCCAAGGGATCACAATTCCTCTCCAGCAAGGGAACAGGGCTGGATGGAGAATAAGTCTGATGAATTGACTGAAATAGGCTTCAGAAAGTGGGTAGTAATAAACTTCTCTGAGCTAAAAGAACATGTTCTAACCCAATGCAAAGAAACTAAGAACCTTGAAAAAAGGTTTGATGAAATGCTAATGAGAATAAACAGCTTAGAGAATATAAATGAATTGATGGAGCTGAAAAACACAACATGAGAACTTCAGGAAGCATACACAAGTTTCAACAGCCAAATCAACCAAACAGAAGAAAGGCTATCAGAGATTGAAGATCAACTCAATGAAATAAAACAAGAAGGCAAGATTAGAGAAAAAAGTAAAAAGAAATGAACAAAGCCTCAAAGAAATATGGGATTATGTGAAAAGACCTAATCTACATTTGATAGAATGTGATGGAGAGAATGAATCCAAAAGGAAAGCACTCTTCAGATTTTTTTCCGGGAGAACTTCCCCAACGTAGCAAGGCAGGCCAATATTCAAGTCCAGGAAATACAGAGAATACCACAAAGATATTCCTCAAGAAGAGCAACACCAACACACATAACCATCAGATTCACCAGTGTTGAAATGAAGGAAAAAATGCTAAGGGGAGCCAGACAGAAAGGTTGGGTTACCCACAAAGGGAAGCCCATCACACTCACAGGAGATCTCTTAGCAGAATCCTACAAGCAAGAAAAGAGTGGGGGCCAATATTCAACATCCTTAAAGAAAAGAAGTTTCAACCTAGAATTTCATATCCAGCTAAACTAAGCTTCGTAAGTGAAGGAGAAATAAAATCCTTTACAAACAAGCAATTGCTGACAGATTACATAACCACCAGGCCTGCCTTACAAGAGTTCCTGAAAGAAGCACTAAACATAGAAAGGAACAACCAGTACCAGTCACTCCAAAAACATACCAAATGGTAAAGAGCATCAACACAGTGAAGAAACTGTGCAACTAATGGGCAAAACAACCAGTGAGGATCAAAATGGCAGGATCAAATTGACGTATAACAATATTAACCTTAAATGTAAATGGGCTAAATGCCCCAATAAAAAGAAATAGACTGGCAAATTGGATAAAAAGTCAAAACCCATTGGTGTGCTGTACCCAGGAAACCCATCTCATGTGCAAGGACACACATAGGCTCAAAATAAAGGGATGGAGGAAGATTTACCAAGCAAATGGAGACCAAAACAAACAAACAAACAAAAAAAAAAGCAGGAGCTACAATCCTAGTCTCTAATGAAATAGACTTTAAACAACAAAGATTAAAAGAGACAAAGGAGTACATTACATAATGGTAAAAGGATCCATGCAACAAGAATAGCTAAAGATCCTAAATATATATGCACCCAATACATGACCACCCAGATACATAAAGCAAGTTCTTAACGACCTACAAAGAGACTTAGATCTAAGTTAACACTCCACTGTCAATATTAGACAGACATTGAGAAAGAAAATTAACAAGGATGTCCAAGACTTGAACTCAGATCTGGACCAAGCAAACCTAATAGACATTTACAGAACTCTCCACCCCAAATCCACAGAATATACATTCTTCTCAGCACCACATCATACCTACACTAAAATTGATCACATAATTGGAAGTAAATCACTCCTAAGCAAATGCAAAAGAATGGAAATCATAACAAACAGTCTCTCAGACCACAGTGCAATCAAATTAGAACTGAGGATTAAGAAACTAAGTCAGAACCGCACAACTTCATGGAAACTGAACAACTGGCTCTAGAATGCTGACTGGATAAACAATGAAATGAAGGCAGAAATAAAGATGTTCTTCAAAACCAACTAGAACAAAGTCACAACATACCAGAATCTCTGGGACACATTTAAAGTAGTGTCTAGAGGAAAATTTATAGCACTAAATGCCCACATGAGAAGCAAGGAAAGATCTACAATTGACACCCTATCATTGAAATTGAAAGAGCTGGAGGAGCAAAATAAAAAAAAAACAAACCTCAAAAGCTAGCAGAAAACAAGAAATAACTAAGATCACAGCAGAACTGAAGGAGAGAAAGACACAAAAAACCCTTAAAAAATCAATAAATCCAGGAGCTGGTTTTTTGAAAAGATCAACAAAATAGACAGATGCTAGCCAGATTAATAGAAAAGAAGAGAGAAGAATTAAATAGATGCAATAAAAAGCATTAAAGGGGATATCACCACTGATTCCACAGAAATACAAACTACCATCAGAGATTACTATGAACAACTCTATGCACATAAAACAGTAACACTGGAAGAAATGGATAAATTCCTGGACACTTCACCCTCCCAAACCTAAACCAGGAAGAAGTCGAAACCCTGAATAGACCAATAACAAGGGCTGAAGTTGAGGCAGCAATTAATAGCTTACTAACCAAAAAAAGCCCAGGTCATGATGGGTTCACAGCCAAATTCTACCAGACATACAAAGAGGAGCTGGTACCACTCCTTCTGAAACTATTCCAAACAATCCAAAAAGAGGGAGTCCTTCCCAAATCATTT